CCAAGAAGCTGGTGTTGGTTGTAAATATAAAAGAATACAGTGTAAAATCCCAGACCTTTTAAACAGCTATTTGAGCACTAAAATTCCATTTGGAAACAAAATACCTCTGAAAAAGAAAAACCTCTGATTTGCTTGTGCCTTGCAATTCATTGTATTTTAGAAGTAATGCAGCTCATTTTTGCCTCAGAGATAAGTTTAGGTAACTTGTAGCCTGATCAGAGGTGTCATTTCTTCTTATTATGTATTGCATTCAGACAGTACATTCTGATTCAGAGCTCATCTTGTTGCCAAATCTGGAATAATTTTGACGTATACATTTTTCAAATTAATTTGAACAGTGAAGATCATTCAGTTGTCAGCAGAAGTGGAAAGGGAAAAGTGTTGCTCTGTGCTAATTAGATGAGAGCTGACGAGTCTTTGATGTAGAGTTGCAGGACAAAATCCTGATTCCACTCATGTTAGCACCTTTCAGCATTTCCTTCAATGGTATTTTGTTATTGTCACTTCATTTCTTGTGTAACACAGGACTTGTGGTGGTATTTCACACTCTGACCACAATACACAAGAAATTCAGCTGTTGGAGACTTAAAATACTTTAGGGGCCAGTGACACATGAAGCAAGTGGCAGAGCTTCCTTCAGTAGGTAACACTTTGCAGTTCTTTGGGACCTGAAATCCAGTGAAGATCATAATAATCAGGATTTATGAGCATCTCTCAGAAGATACAACTTCAGTTGGGCTTCAATTCATGGAAGGAAATACAGGAAGTCTAGAGCTGATGCTGAAGAGAATGAAAAATCAAACTGATTGGAGCAATAATAAGCAAGGTGCAGGTTAGCAGGGGAATTTCTGTTCTGAGACTGAAGGGCATTGCAGGACAGCCCAGAAGTCACAGCCAGCCCTTCCAGGTCAGTCTCAGGGATTTACTGCGTGAGGACTCATTCAAAACTTGAGGTCTGAGCTTTCCCAGGCAGAAATGCTGTGGTGACTTTATGCTGCTCCTTCGTTCTTCTCTGAGTGCTCCTGTGTGTTGGGTTTAGAAAAACTAATCTTTGGGCTGGTCCCATCCATTCAATTTCCAACTCACCAACTCCTGAATCAAGGCTGGGGAAGGGAAGCAGAACAGCTACCAATACATTTCTGGAATTTCTAGTTTGTTTTTAAGTAAAACTCGGACTTCATACCATTCCTACAGAGTAAAGTTACTGCTTCCTCAGAGCTGAAGGATTTATGCAGTAGTTTGCACCCTCATTTAGGCAGAATGTGGATGTGCAGCAAGATCACTGCTGGGGAGGCTGTGCTTTGCTCTTTTGCAGATGCAGTGAGTCATCTGAGAAACCATTCCTCAGCAAAACCCGGCTAACTTGGTTTACTTTTTAAATATCGGGTTTTTTAGACAGTTGTGGACGTTGCCATGGCAGCAGGACATCCCTCCCCTCGGGGCTGCAGCTCAGTGTGCTGTTTTAATGCCACCTCGCTGCCAGCTTGGGAAGGCCAGGCTGCTCAGCAGCTCCATCACTGCTCCCTGCATGGAAAGAGGCAGTGGTTGTTTCCCCAGGGTCAGCCCTAACAGCAAAATTTAACCTGCAAAGTTAGCCCGGGATGGATCTCCTGTTCCATGACTTCAAGGCTGGAGATGGATGTTGTCATAACCAAAGTCAGAACAGCGTAAACATGGAATTTTCTGTGCTGTTCTATTGTAAAAAACACCCTTTTCCAGCCTTGCTTCCAACCAGCCTAGACTGCAATGAGAGGAACACCTCCAGACCCTGCAGCTGGGATCTCGAGTATTTTGGAAATAAATCCTTTAACATCTTTATCCAACAAGTAAAGTGCAGGCTTTGCCTGGTAAATTCTTCCAGTCAAGTCAAAAATCAGGTGGTTGCCACAAAGAGTCTCTTTGTTTTCACTTGTCCCTAACATGTGCCTCTCATTGTTATATAAATGTATCCTTTTAGGTCTAGACACAAAAAAATGCTTTGCAAAGGAATTCCCAACATCAGTTTAATATAATATGTGAACCACACAGATACTTTAAACCTCTCTCTCCTACAAATTAATTCTGCAAGACCAAGGCCTTCAAGTTTCAAGGTTCAGTTGCAAAACTAGATTTCTTTCATTATTATTCTTATTATTAACATGTAGTCTAAATCTTTTTTTATTCTAACCCAATGTGAAATAGAGGTTGGAACACAAATTTTTGCTAAATATGTAATTAATTGTGTACATAAATGACTACTTAGAAATCTTGCTTGTCATTTGTAAGCCTGTGTGTTGTATGGAGATGGAGGTTCATGCAGCTAAGGATTGTGTGACCCATGGTATTTATAATTAGGTAATTATACCCTTGCTTAATGAACTAGCCAACAGAGGTTTTTTGCTGACGTTGCTTTTTCCCCTCTCTATAGAAAGTGGAAATAAATCAAATTAGATCAGTCAAGAGAGATGCCAGTAGGTTTTCTTCTTCCAAATCATTCAGAAGTCATGAATTATTTTAACGTTTAGTCTTCTTTCTCCCTTGGCTTCATGGCTGTTACAAAAATTCTGCTTATTAATGCATTACGAACCAAAGCTGTCAAAATCAATCTCTGTCTCCATTTGCAAGGATGTTCTATATGTGCAGCTGAACGGTGCAGTATGTGCTTCTGAAATTTTCATGTGGGTTCTGACCGGATTTCCTGAGTGGAAGATCAGCTGACTCCACAGGAATGTCACAGCCTGTGCATTCTACCCAGGGCAAATGTCATCTACATGCTGTTTACAGAGGTAGATATTTCCAGTTCTGGAAGTTGCAGTTATTGGGACCAGGTTTGGATTCATTTTCTATTATTCTTGTGTTTTAATCTGCATTTTCCAGTCCAGGGCAATGAGGAGCTCTGCTTAAGACCACAGGGAGTTCTATTTAATTATAATTGGCAGCCTGCAATCCTTTGTTGCAGTCAAGGAAATCCTGGAGCTAATGGATGATACTGCAAACCCTTGGTAGTGGTTTTACACTCAGCAATTTGTTCTTTATTTAGCTGAATAAATGTCTGATGGAGCTGAGAGAATCCACTCACTGTTGGACAGGAAATTCTTGGTGTACCAACCCTAGGAATTAATTTATTACCTTAAAGGGTAATTTTGCCATTTAGACTTTATGCATCTGAAGCAATAAATATCAATGTGTAATTTATTAGTAATAAGACAATTTACAAGAGCAGCATAACCTGACAATGGTTATGAAATGTGTCACTAACTGTGGGCAGAGGATAATTGTCTCTGCTCAGGTGGTTTTATACAGGATTGATGGCCTCAGGCTTGGTTTATGAATTGTGTTTTCAGCACAGTGAGAGAGTTTTAATAGCCCAAAATAGGCACCCATTTTGGCTGTCTCAGCTGCAAAGTCCAGATCAAGCAGAAGGGAATGGTTTTCCCTTCACCAGGATTAGGAAGAAATCTGGCACAGCTGGAGTTTGTTAGAGAGTCAAAAGATACCACGTTTTGATACCAACTTTGAGACACCTCATACACTTCATCCTCATCAAATGTGTTAAACTTGTTCTATGTAATTTCAGGCAGATCAATATTTGCAGTTCTGTTGTGGAACCGAGTCCTGAAGGAAGAGCAAGCCCCAGCAGTGCAGAGCTCTGATGTGAACACAAGTGCCTGCTCTCCCTGGGCTGTCGTGGCTGACTACAGGGGCAACCGAATACTTTGATAATTCTGTGTATTTTTAAACTTGGCAGTGCAGCCTGCAGAGGTTCTTTGACTGGCAGCCACTAGAGAGCACTAAGGGATTGTCTCTTTTCCAGAGCAGGGTGTGGTGAACTACAGCGTGCAAGGCTTTTTTTCACATCTGAAGAGTCCTATTGTGTTCTGTACAAAATAGAGGATATTAAACCAAGATTTTAGCACCTCTAGCATTTTGCTTTACACAGTTATTATTCATGGTGGTTTCTTTTATCAACATGTAATTCTCTCTCAGTAGAGTTTCACTGAGTCCCCTGTAGTAATTAATGTGTGGACTATTTTTACTGTAAGGATGAATGATGATGCTTTGCTGTCTGCTGCACAGATAATCTTGGGAGAATCTAGTTCTGCTTTAGCTTATCCTTAGAAAAAAACTTCTGCCTCAAATCACTCTCAAATGAGCAGACAACAAATGGAGTTTATATATGTAAAATACATAAACTCAGAAAAATGGTCTCTTAAAGGGAAAATGCTATGTGAATTAACCTGTTAGTCTCTCCTGATCCAAGTATTTGATGTTTCCTTATCTGACTGCAATTTTTTTAGTGCCTTGAGATTTTTTCATTTTTATTTTTTTTCACTTTTCATACATCCTTCTGAAATCAGCTGGACCTTTAATGTTTGCACTTCACCCTTTTAAATCTCCTGTGTGCTTTTTGGGAGGACTTTTTCATTGAAATCATTGGTATCTTTCAGCTTATTTTATGAGCAGAAGGTTGTAGCTTAAAACTTGGCAGTGCCTGTGGAAGAAAACATGTTCTCAGAAGATAATGAGGAGCCCAGAAGTCCAAAGTTTTCCTCTCCAGGTCTGCAGCTCTACTTCCAGTGAGTGGTGAGTACAGCTGTGGTCAGCAAAGGAATTGTCACAGAATGGTGTTTCCTTCCTTCCCTCCTTCAGAAATTGGTGCTGAAGGGAAAAGCCACTTGTTCTACTGAAGTGAATTTTTTCTGTCAGCATTACTGAGTCAGAGCAGCTGGAGGGGAATAAACTGGATTCTGGTGAGATTAAATGTTGGGGCCAGCTGTGTAAATGGAATATGTCATGATGTGAAAGACCCCTCTCATAACAATGGTATTCATCACATCATGCTAAATAGACCAGACCTAGAAAAAACCTCCCCTGAGCTGCAGATCCCAAAATTAGTTTGCCAATCTATGTCAGTGTTAAACTTGAAATCCTAATTAGCAGGATTGGTTTGAAGTACTTGGTGACAAAGCCCACGTTGTTCTCTGACAGTTGAACCAAACTGCTTAAAATAGTAACTCACAGGTGTCCCTGTACATTTGTTGGGTTGGTTTGAGGCTTTTTTTGTAGTTCTTATTCACAAATAGCGAAGAAGCTTCGTAAGAGAGACTCCAATTCTATTCACCTTTCCAGAACCAGAATGCTCAGCTGGGAAGTGATTTGCCCATATGGGAAGTGTTACTGGCTGTAAATCAAATGATGAAATGTAAAAGTTACTCAATTTGTATAAGCAACTTAGAATAAACAACATTCAATATATGGTCTTTTTAAAAAATCTGACGTATAGAAACTTTTTAGCAATATTTAGGGGATTTTTTTTGAGTTTTCCTGGACATCCTGGACCAAGATTCTTCCCAGGAATACTTAGATTGAGACCTCTGTTATGATTTACTGTACTGAGAAATTTTCATAGAATTTCCTATCACTTTCTGGGAATTAACTGATCTAAATCTTTTCTAGTTTTCTTGGGCTTTGTAAGTATTCCTGAATGTGTGATCTTTCCAGGAATTCCTGGACAGAGACCTTTTTTAGAGTTTCTGGACCTACAAACTTTCTTGGCATTTTCTCACTTTTTATAGGAATTCCTGGATCTAGAACCTGAAGTAGCTCCTGTACTGTTCAAGGAATTTCCCATCCTAGACTGAGACCCTTCCTAAAAATTTTCCAGGGTTTTCTAGGAAATCTTGGATCTAAACTCTTTCCAGGAATTGCCTTCAAAAGTCCTTACAGGAACTGCAGTAGCTCCTCAGATCCCATATGCCCTGATTTTGTTTCAAGGTCTGGAAATAGCTGTTACCATTTTTTGCTGTCAGAGATAAGCATCAGTCTATGCAGAGCTGAGGAGCTGGAGCCATCCTGCAAAGAAACTGAAAGTCTGAATTCCTGTTTTAAAATCAGTTACCACAAAAGTGATTTTTTTCTCTGAAAACACACTGCCCCCGGGAGTGATGATAAAACAGCTTTGAGTGCAATCTACATTCCCTCCATTCTCTGATTCCCCTGACCCTCTCACAAAGTCAAAAATTACTCACAGGGACCTTGTTAGTTAATACATTAACTCCTCATAGCACCATCCATGCAAAGGCAAGTCATAAAACACTTACTCTTCTCCTTCTGCCAAATGCTCAGAGCCAAAGCCCTAATTGGACTTGAAAATTATGCTTTTATTTTTTCCTTTAGGGCACTGGAGTTTTAAACTGTTGTCTGGCTGTTGTCCTCAGTCCTGAGCTAACTTTCATGGTCTAGGTGAAAGTAAATCCAATCTTCCCAGAATGGTCTGTTGGAAAGGTGATTTTGTTTTTCTGAGGAAGAGAAACAAAGGGACAGTTTGGTGGTGGTGGTCTCTCCCTAAACAAGGTGTGAACTCCAGCTACACGTGCTCAGCACCAGGAGGTGCCAGTCCCTTATGAGCCCAGTCAAAAAGGCACTGAGCTGCTCAAAGTGTCTTTCGTGACTTTAAATAATATTTATTAGAGCTGACACTGTAAGGAAATGGTGCAGATAATCTTATGTCCCAAAAGAAATATGAACTGGGGCTTGAATTTTTGTGGATTCAGAAATTCAAATTGTTCAGAAACAAAATTAAAAACTATAGTTTCTCCATTCCCTTCCTTCCTTTTCACATCCCTTTGTTTTACATCAGTTTAGGAAAATGAGCCAAAGCACCCATTTTGGTACCATCACTGAAACGAAACAGGTGTGGAACCATTTGTTATTTTGTCACTCTTGGAATAGAACTGTATTTTTGGAAGTGACAACAGAAGGAGCAGTCTACATGAGCCAGTTGTTAAAGCTTCATCCTGTTGTGAGTTCAGTTTGGTCGTGCATTTTTCAGTCCTAATGTTGTGTTGAACTTACCTTGCTTTCCACTAAGCATGAATCATTCTCCTTGATTAATCCTGATAATAAAATTACATACTGGAAGCCCTGTAGGATGAGAAATAATTACTGAGGCACTGTAGGAATGAAGGAGTCAGCTGCCTTCGTAGAGTACCCTTTAGAAACTCAAAAAAACCACTTTCATAATTATTGCACAATAGGAGTTGCCAAAAAGCAGTGTTTGAGAAGAGCTTGAACTGCAAAACTGGCATGACAAGTTAGAGAAACCACTTTTCTGTGCCTCCTGGTGTAATGTTACACTGCATGGCTGCTGTGTCAAGAGAATTACTACAATCAGAAACATCAGGAATTTAAAATTAAGAACTAAATGACATTGACTTTATAATGCCTGTGAATGATGTTACTCAAAGTAGCTGGCTTTTCATCAAAACTGGAGTTGATTTCGTCAAATTACCAACACATTCCTTTTAACTGCTTCTTTCAAACCAGCTCTAATTATAACCTTAAAATAGCATCTTTACTGGCACAAAGAAAATAAAAAGCCCCAAGATATGGGTCAGCAATCTATTTCCCTTAGCTCAGATACCTTATTTAAATTTTTTGTATTTATTTTTCCCCAAGAAAAGCACATGTTAGCTGAAGTAGATTTTTCAAATGGGTGCTTTTCAAATGGAAGCTTTTTGCAACTTCTTTGGGAAGGTTGAGATATAAAATTCACAGTACATTTAAAAAAACAGTTCTCTTCTTTCTCCATGTTTTTTCAACTAGTTTTCTCTTTTACTTGTTGCAATCAGGAAATATCAACCAGCAAACTGGCAATTAAGATTTTAGAACTCTCATTCTTGATTTACATGAGCTGTTTGGACACGTCCTGAAGTAAACAAGTAAAACTAAAAGGCCAAGCAAAATCTCTACAAGAAAGGCTACAGAAAGATATCTACCCATATGTATTATAAAGGGTGGAAATATTAAAACTGGATAGTTCTCTCCTCTCTTTTATGTGAAATTTTTAACCAAACACTAATGGTGCTGGGAATTCCATATTGCAACTGGCCAGAGATGATCAGTGCAGCTGTTACCCTCAGCTCTGTAGAATCTGGAACAGCATCACTTTCCTTGCAAGTATTGAATTTTTCATCTTCATAGCTGACACAGATGGTTTCCATAATGCACTTGGGAAAATACTCTTTGGGACAGAGTTTTTCACTTAGGAATGACCAATGGCTACGTTTACTTTTCCCAGTACCTGGAGCAAGGGTTTTGCTGTGAGTTGCATTTTTGTTCTCTCTCAGGTGGTGCCTGAACACCAAGGGAACAAAGACTGTGCTCAGAACTTTGCTTCTCTCTGGGCACCCTGTTCCAGGGCCTCACCACCCTCAGAGGGAGGAATTCTTTCCCAATATCCCATCTCTCCCTGCCCTCTGGCAGTGGGAAGCCGTTCCCTGTGTCCTGTCCCTGCATGCCCTGTCCCCAGTCCCTCTCCAGTTCTCCTGGAGCCCCTCTAGGCACTGGAAGGAGCTCTGAGGTCTCTTGGAGCCTTCACTTCTCCAGGTGAGCACCCTCAGCTCTCTCAGCCTGGCTCCGTGGTGGCTGCACGGCTCAGCTTTGTCACCGAGCTGGGATAACTCCCTTTGCTCAGGGACACCTGAACAAATTATTTATATAGGGCATTAATAGTTCAAACCATTGTGTGAACTTGAAGTGCATCAGCTTCTCAGCAGGGTTGCCACACAGACCTTCTTACCCCAGGACAGGATAATCCACCTCCCATTCACCTCCTGAGGTAAGACAAGAATTTATCCCCTTTTGAAATAACTGCTTTTTAGGATAAGGATGTGCATGTATCTATTTCTCATGGAATAACTGGAGCTCTTCAGGTTTATCCCTTTGTTTGCTCTGCAAACAAACTTCTTTGTGTATTCCTATCCTCTGCATCTTTTTTGTGGGCATAAAGAAGAAATAATGTTTTTAATGGTTCTGTTGAGTAGTGCAAGATCCAGATAAAAATGTAATACTTCCTATTTTATGTAAGATATAAAAATGTAATACTTCCTATTTTATATGAGATATAAATTATTTGACCAAGGATTAGGAATCAAAACAGCACAGTAGGCTGGCTTATTTATAGGCTTGGGGTTTCTTAACTAAGGCTGTGGGAAGATCAGAAATCAAAACTACCCTGTTTCCAGTTTGTTTACATTAAAGGCCCTTACTTTTTTTCCATAAATTGCCATTCTAATTTACTGCTGAAGGTAATTTTTCTAAAAACTAGTTTCAATAGCACTTCAAAAAATAATTTTCCCCTCATATAATTTCCTCAAATGAATGCAGATTCTTCAATAATTCAGTGAACTGAACTTTATTATCTCATTCTATTCTATTTCAGAACATGAAGATTAGCTCTTTTGGCTGAAACTAGGTGTTAATTGATGTAGCAGTGTCATGGAACTGCACCTTCAGTTTCTCCATTTGAGAGAAAAAATGCATTATTTAAAACCTGAGATTCCTTTTATGAAGCATATTTGTAGACTGAATACCTTCTGCTCATTCTAACCCAGGCACAGACTCTTTACAGATAACTACAGATGTAAACTATGACCTGAGCATTGAGGTTCAGATTTGGTATGAAAGCTGAATATTAAAGGCTTTGTACAGAATTTGGTGCTTATTTCTCCAACTGCTAAAATGCCAGGCAGGCTTGCAAAACACATTGGTGCAGGAACTGGTGCAGACACATCCAGCCAGCAACCTCTGTGCCTTTATTGATACTTGCTTTATTTGTGTTCTCAGAGAGCCTTTGTTGGTTCAGTGCTTCCATTTAGGTGAATTTCTGGACAAAATGGTAATGAAAGATCCCAGAAGTCATCCCTGTTTATATCAAGGGGGAATCCACGGCCCTTCAGTGGCCCCAGCCTGGAGCCTGGCAGGGCTCTATAGCCCTGAGGTCTGGGCATTAATAAGAGCAAGAACACTCCCATGTCTGCTCCATGGAAATGTGTCTTTTGGGCACAAATTCCATGCCACACACTTTCAAAATTTGCTGCTACATTAAAATATTCTTCTGCACCAAGTACATATTATGCAGATATGTAAATGAAGATAAAATCTAAAGTAATTTGGCATGGTTTGGATACCAGGGAAATGCTGCATAATCCCACCAGCACAAAGTTATCTTTTCCTCTGGGGGAAAGCATGTGTCTTGGTTTCTAGCTAACTATTTTAATCCTTTCAGTCTACATAGAAAGGGTGGAAAATACGTTTTCAGCAGGGTAAAGCTGTTAACCAGCTCAGATTTCATGTTACACCTGACCACTGGTTGCTTGGCCTAACATTTCTTACCCTGCTGGGTCCACACAACTTTCTTCCTGCATTTTCCAGGGAAAAGAAGGTTATTTTCCTGAGGAGACCAGTGGCAGAGCCTGAACTCTGTTCTGAACTGATCTTAATTGTTTATTTTCTGCAAAAGGGAGAAGCTGCAAAGCAGAAAATCAGTGGAAACTTTCTGAGATGTTTCTACAAGCATAAATCTTCCTTGATTGCCTGGCTTGGTTTTAAAGACATGTAAATTTTCAGCTTACCCAGGGATCTTACAGAAAACCTACTTCCTGAAGTTGTTTTTTTAATCCACATCCTATGTACAGAGTAGATTTATTGATATTCTTCGAGAGTATCATGGGCAAACAGTGGTTTTGTTGTTTGTGCTCATTCTAGTGGAGCAGCAATTAAACAATTTCACCTGTGCAGGCAGAAGTGAGTTTTGCAATCCAAAGCCTGAGGCCACAACTAATTACCCTGGGGGGGGTGGGGCTTGCTGGGGCAGCCAGACTAAATTTGGGTGGTGAAAGAAATTGGGGAAAAAAATGTATTGCTTCTCTTTTTTTCTTCCTCCTGGCCAGTGCCCCTGGTATGCTTGGAGCCCTTCCTCAGTGACAAAAGTTGCCCTGCAGGTTCTGCAGGAATCTGGTCCAAGGGGGGTGGGACAGTCCCTTCCAGGGGAAGGAAACATCACCTGTGTCCTGTCTCAGGCAGGAGATGTTGCTCCTGTAGTGAGAGCCCTTCCTGGCAAGAGATTGTGCACATGTAAATGGTGAGGAGCTGGCAAACCTCAGAAAAATAAGCTGACAAGGAGAGGTTTTGCTTGAGACTGCCATGGGCATGGCTGCTCTTAATTCTCGAGGCAGGGAAAGGGAGAACAAGCAGTTTCTTTGTCATAATCGTACAGCAGTGATTCCACACCAAGCTAGAAACTGTTGTCACAGCGTAAAAGGTTTGGGGTGATCCATGTGAAAATAGAAGCGTGAATCCTATCATTCCATCTAAATGCTTTGCCAAATGCTAAAAGTTCTGAAATCCTCAATTTAAGACAGGGTTAAGATTATTTGTCACTGTGATTTTAAATGAGAATCCATCCTAGTGCTTGTTAACTCCACTGTGAGTGGGACCAGTTATTTCTTCCCATGATCCAGACCTTCACACCAAGCCCCTGGGCACACCATATACGTGTAAAACAGGGGAGGAGGAGATGAAGAGAGTGTCCTGCAAAGCCAGCTTGAAAATGTGTTGAAAGAGAGTTCAGAAAGATTTCATGGCAAACCTAAAACCAGCACCTAGCTGAGCAGCAGCGATGGCTCTGCTGGCACCAGGGATGGCTGGTGCCTGCCATCAAGCTTTTCCCCACAGCCCAGCCCCAGGGTGAGTTGATGTGAGGCCCAGCTAAGCTCCACACAAAGCTTGGAAAAGATTCTGAGGTATGGTTATTTTTTTTTTAATAAGTTTTCCCTTCATTGTGGTTGGTGTTTTTGTGCTCGCCTTTTGATTCTCTGCATGATTAAGCACCTAAATGTTTGCTGTCTTTGTGGGTTGTTTGTTCCATTTGAAGTTTATTTTGTTTGTTTGGGTTTGGTTTCCATTTGTACCAAATTAAAATTAATAATTATATGCTTGCAAATAACTGGGGCAAGATTTAAAACCAAAAAAGGAGAGTTTTTTCTTTCTACCTCCGCGTGTCCAGCTCCTTTAGGAATTTTTATTTTCAATTATAAATTCTCAGCATTTTTTTGTAAATTGGAAGCTGTGGCTTAGTAAGGTTGACTGCCCAGAAATCAACCTGCCTATGCAGAAGCAGAGTTTGGCAGAATCAGTAGTTTCCAGTTACTGTTAAAAGGCATATCTTTGCCAAAGAAACTTGTAATTTCTCTTAAAAGAAAAATAGGGTATTTTGGGGTTTTTTTCATTTAATCTAGCCTTATTATATTTGTTCCTGTCTACGTTATCAAGTCTTCATTGCTATGACTGAGACAGCAGCAGAAATTATCCCTAAATTGGATTGTCTTTCAAGGGCAACTAATAATTAAATCTCCTGAAGCCTGAGCTGTTTATAGGCAATAGAAGTAATTACAAAGTTTGAAAAAATACACTAATTTGGAAAATGTTTGAAAATGTCTCAAATATAATGGAGTTACAAGCCAGCAAGGGATTATTGGTCTAGACAACCATGGCGTTTCATTTAGCTCCACAAACTGTAGATTACTGTCTGAGGAGGGCTTCTGTTCATCACTTTTTAATTTGATTTTACTGTACAGCAAAACTGGTATTTTATCTTGTTTCTTAAATTGCTATTGTCAAGGTTATGAACTTGGTTACCACCCTTAGCTTAGACGGGAATTTTTTTAGAAGAAATGTTTATCAAAGTTTTTCCTTCCCTTGGTGCCTAAAATTATTTGATATAAGTCAAATTTTTCCTTCTCTGTATTTTTTCTTTAAGTCATATTTTCTGGCTTATTCCATGGGATTCCCTTACCCAGCTAGTAAGGTCTAATTCCTCACAGTTCTTATCTGCCTCTATATGTTCTTCTTAAAACAATAAAATTCTCATTGTGAAAAACTTTCTATTTGAAATGGGGTGGCAACATTCCTTTTTAATGTCTGCTCTCTGTGTTCCAACATGGCTTGCCTCTGGCTGGAGTTCTTGCATGTCTCCAAGGATATTACTAATCCACTTTGGAAAAGAATGGAAAATCTGTTTTATAAAGGTTTTAAGTCTTAAACTGCTGTTGTTTCAAAATGAGTCCACTCCTTCCAAATTTAAATTCTTTTCTTGAAAGAAAACATTTTTGGTTTTCACTCTTATAGGAAAAAAACTACAGAATAAAATCCATATCAAGATTAATGATTATTTCTTAATTATTTTTGAATGAAATGAGATGGGGTTTTTTGTAGAAATGGAATTAGTAGTAGGATTATGTTTTCCCCACTTGGAAAAGTGAGATAAGTCAGTAACATTTTGTCTATTACTTTAAATTTAGCAAAATTACAGGAATTACTAAAGAATTGGTCCAAGTGGGTTATTTAACCTTGGTTTGGTTACCCAACCCTTTTTTTCATTTATTGTCCAGTTATATACTTGCAATGTTATTCTACTTCATTCCAGCCCACTCTAAACCACTTTATTGTGTTTTTTTTGCAAAGCACAACATTTTTCATGTGTGCTCCAGTGTGACTAAATTTTTTAGCTTTTCCTATTTGATTGAGAAATATTCTTCTTTATTTTTTTTTCTATTTTTTTCTGGCTATGAAAGCCATATAGATTGGATCTCAACCCTCAAAGAAAATATTCCAGATACTTCCTTCCAGGTATACCTGTCAGTGGCTCATCTTCTTTATCTTAGAAGTAAATGCCTCAGAGGAGAAAAAAATGAATCAAAATAATTCTTGGATTATTACACTGCAGTGATCTGTGTTGGCTAATGATCCATCCCCAAATGTGTGCTGTGAATCTGCTCTTTCCCTTTCAGTCTTGAAATGTTAAACTTGCTTTATTTTGAGGCAATTGCTGTGTAGTCTTCTTATTTAAATGCATATATGTATGACTGCACTGACAAATATTCCTTTTTCATGGTATTAGTAGTTCCATTTTTCAAAAGAATGTTCCCCCTTCACTTTTAGGTAGATGTGGAAATCTCTTTATTTACAGTAACTTTCATTGATTGGTCTTAATTAGTTTTTGAGATTATTTCCATGAATCACTGAGGTTCAGATTTCTGCAGACTCACGCAGGAGGCTCCGTCTGTGCCTTCCTACTCCTCCCACCAAAGAGGGAAGCCAGGAGAAGAGGGCACATTGCATGCACCCCTTCTTGGATTTTCTTCCCTCTGTTTTATAGAGGGAAGAAAATAAATCAGCATTCCCGTGGTTTGGTGAGATGCTGGATCTCCCCTACGTGAATGAGAGAGAAGTAAAGGCTGAGCAGCTGAAAACAGAGCACTGAAATCCCGGCCCTGCTGGAGCCACTGCCTGAAGTTCATCCCAATTTCCCCGTGTCCTGAGGGAACGCTTTGCATGTTACATGTTCTGCGATGTTCACTCTTTGTAGCTGAGCCTGGACATGTTGGCTGTCCCTAATTAAAGTAATCTAGGAAATTTAAACAGCTGAGCTTAAAAGTTAGCCTCGAAATGTGTGTTGTATTCATCAACAGCAAATCTCCTGTGATACTGATTTAAATATTTGCCAAGAGTGATGCTGTCTGAAATAATTTGAAGAATATATTCTCCTCTTAAGACCATAGACTTTCTTGACTTTTTGGGGTTTTTTTACCAGATGAAAACTATTCTACATACTCTTCCACAAAGAAAAAACTCTATCTCTTATAATTTCTCATTTATCAGCTCTCTAGGGGAGGGATATAAGACAACAATCATTCTGGAGAGAATGGGCAGAGCGTGTGGGGTAAAGGAACTATTGCCTATATTAGAGAGAAATTATTTTTCTCTTTGTAAGACAACAGTAGGAGTTCTGTCCTTTTGCCTTAAGTGGCAGAAGGTGACAGTGAAAATCAGTGACAGTGAAAGAGAAATATGGTTCAACTCTTTTAGCCAGAGGTAAGAGGACTATGGGTAACATGCATGTTTTTCAGGAGAAATACAGAATCTTTTAGACACTTAGTGATAACGGGGAAAATAATCTAAAATCTTTGGTTAAAAAAATTATAAAGACAGTAACAGCATTATTTTTAACTCTTGACTATGTTACACGCTACAGTACAGAAAGCAATTAATGTCTCATAACAGTGTGAAATTGTATCATGCAGGTGTCATCAAATGCAATAATTAAACCTCAGCAGCGTGGTTCAAACATGCTGTTACTGGTGTGACCAGTTAGTGCTGGGAGAGATGGGGGAGAGGCTGCTGGGGGAGCCCGTAGGCAACCGGGGCTAAAAGACCAATGTCAGCAGCATCTCAACGAGCTGAGAAAAGGCTTCGTGCCCAACATGCTGCTTCTTGTGCTTTAATAACTGCTCATTCCTGACACTGCTCCCTCTGACACCCGAGCCTGTTATAAAGGTGATAAAAACATGAACTGGGGTTAACATACCTGAGCCACAATCTGGGAGGTTTTTCCTCTTGCTTTAAGAGGCTGCTGATAAAATCATAGTTACATCACTGAGCTACAGAGGACCAGGATGGACCGCTTGTGCAAGAGTCTTGGTTTTATAACATGCATTCCTCTCTTGTAAGGAGCATCCAAAAACAGTTATTCAACTCAAAATATTAAAAAGCCAAGTTTTGTCCTCTCTGGGTTTGGCAGAATCTCAAAATCAGTGGCAACATTTATCTGTAAGAAGTGAGTACATGTGAATGCTGGGCCATAATTGTGTACTTTGGATTCAGGATACAGGCAAAAGTAAAAATTGAACACTTGAAGATTCAAATTTATCCTGGAGATCAGGAACTCACCTTAAGAATTTCTCAACCATCACCCCTAGATATGAAAGACTGAACTGTACTCTTTAAAGACTTACTTGATTTTGTTTTTATTGTGCAGTCTTTTAGAATGACCCTTTAAATCAAGTCTTTGATTTAATTTGGCTAGAGCATGGGAAAACAAAAGCAAAGAAACACCCTCAAAACCAACAAAAAATATCTAAAAAATAAGAGGCTGCTGGGTAGAGAATGGTAAACCAAAAAAAGATTGCTTCTGAATTGGCAAGGAAATTTATATATTATGCCAGGTATCTTCTCTTGTGAGATGAGTTTAGATTTGGAGAGTAGAAGATGAGAGCCTTAGGACAGACTGGAGTATGGAGAGCAAGGCAGCTGGGAATTTTGGAGGGTTCCTATTCCAGGTGGAAGGTGTTGTCTCTAAAATGCAAGTGAAGCCTCACAGGTGAGGCAGGCAGCAAACATCT